ATAAACATTGTTCAATGACAATAGGTGCTCTTGGTATAAATCTTTCATCCTTCTTTCGGATGTTTACTTAGAAAGATGGGATTTTACGAAGAGGTAGATAATATAAGAAAGAAAGAAAGAAAGAAAGAAAGAAAGAAAGAAAGAAAGGTGAGGGGTGAGACCAGAATTCCATTCATTAAGCATCGGATTTAATGTTCAACTTACATCTGCTCTTGATTAATTCTTCTTAAATGTCATATAATTTCAAGACATAGGTGATAATGGCCCTCCACAGAAATCGTTTTTGTCCTCATCTACCTAATTGTTCTTGGAACGATTAGAGTTTTTTTTTTCCAATTGCTTTCACAGTTCTCAAACCAGAGTAGTCATTCTCCCTGTCTATATTCCAGTCAAGGCAAAAGTCCTAGCCTACTCTGTTATTTAATCCATAGCTGAGAGGGAGAAAGACAGATTCATGTCTTTCTGAAAGGCGTTTATGCCGAAGTAACAGCAAATGAATAGGATTTGGGATTCGAACTCGAATCGACGACTCCACGTTCCCCGCCGATGAGTTACGTTATCTGCACCTTATTGTATGGCATCTATGGGTCTCAAGAGAACATGGATCTGCGTCTGAAGAGTTTATGCTCTCTCCAGGCTGGCAAGCCCGGGCAGAGATCGGAAGTTGCCCCTGCAACACATCTCCCCACTCCACGCCACTGATGTTGTCCATGGGAAAGGCAGAGACCAATATAGCTTGTTGCTGACATTCCCAGAAAGAAACTGAACATGCCACAGGACTGTCTCAGGGACGTCGGCTGCTTATTTGAATTCAGAGTTGTCTATCTCCTAGTCTTTTGGCCAAACAATGGCTACGGAGAGCAAACTGATGTACTATTTATCCATAGTTGGGGTTTTTTGAAGAGATGGCTTCATAACTATCTCGAAGGTATTAGCACGTAAATGAATGTAATGATTCGACCGGAATTCGAACTCAGCTCAAGCTGCAATCCATTACTACCCCCCCTGCAAATTATTACTGACACGATAAAAAGAAAGGCTGCCTATTTGATGGAAGCATAAAAGGCACGTGAGTCGGCATCGTAATTACAGATCTTTGAATCAGTCATGGCAAATATCTTAAATAGATCGGTGATTGTACGTTTGAATGAAAACCGGGCGTATTAGGGTCTGTCTTTCATTCTCTCAATTTGTTGTTACTGGTTACCGTGGTAGCGACGATAATGGCAGGCTTGTGGGTCGCGGGGAGGTTGCGACGATGTAGTCACCATTCTTCTGACTGGGTCCTCCCCACAACTTCTGCTTTGGCCTGAAAATTTTTCACACATTTGAGATTAGGAAAGAAAAGACAAAAAAAAAAAAAAAAAAAAAGAAAGAATAGGATTAAAAAAAAGGGTTAAATGAAAAGATGATATGAGAGGAGAAAGAAGACGACGACGACGACGATGAGAAGAAAACGAAGCAAAGAATAACAAGGAAAAAGAAGAAAAAGATGAACAGACAACAATAAGAACAACAATAAGAATATTAATAATAATGAAAAAACGCCAACAATAACAAAAGTAAATTTACATGTCATTACGATTATAATATAAAAAATGATAAAATATTCAACTTCAAAATATATATATATATATATATATATATATATATATATATATATTTGGAAGTGTTTGGACCTCATTAAATATACTGCATACTCCTTCAGTATACAAAAACCTTCCATTTATTTAGCCCTTTTTCGATTGGTCAAATAAAAATATGACTTTCACTGATTGGTCGGTTGACAATTTTTTCTATTTTCTTAAAGATTCAGGCTTCGATTATATGATTACGAAACTAATTAGCATTTACTAGATTTAATGATAATATCATTTCTTTTCAAAGGTGTTGATAGATCTACATATTTGACAGAGGAAATTAAAATTTAACAGGTACCTACGTGAAGATTATAAGAATATTTTACACTTTTGATAATATTATATTATTTTTTTAGATTTTATAAGATAAAAATTTTTACAAAAGATATAAGAATTTAAGATTTATAACTTAGACATATAAAATTGCTGGTTAAAATTTTTTATATATATATATATATATATATATATATATATATATATATATATATTTGTATATGTGTTTATGTTTTGTGTGTAAATTACACTTAAAAAATATATATAAAGTGTAATATATATATATATATATATACATATCATATATATATGCATATATATACATACATATATATGATTGTGTATGTTTGTGTGCGTGTGCATTACACTTTATAAATATATATAAAGTGTAATGTATATATACTTATGCACACACACACATATCTATCTATATATATATATACATACATATACAAAATATATTTGCACAGACAGATACATATATACATATCCATGCATATATATATATATATACACACATACATATATATGCATATCTACGCATATATATATGTACACACACATACATATATATATATATATATATATACACACACACACAAATATATCCATATCATGCATATATATATATATATATATATATATATATATACACAAATATATCCATATCCATGCATATATCCATGCATATATATATATATATATATATATATATATACACCCACTCACATACATGTGTGTGTGTGTGTGTGTGTTTGGGAACAGCAATTTCCTAATTATCCTGGTTTGCCTGACGACCAATGAATGTTTTTTTTTCTTTTTTGCTTAGTGGCTCCCTCTGCTCTTGTTATTTTGAGAGTTACTAAATTGTTGTCCCTAGGTATGCTTTGTGTTAAATTGATATCTGGGTGTTGGGTCTTCATCCGTCGGTCTAAGGGTGTATTCGTTACTATTCCTTTTTCTTTTCTCTTTGGCTTTTGTTTAGCGACTCTTCACGGGTCACTTGATGAAGCCTCAGGTCATCAGGTGTCGGGAAGTGTTAAGTCGTTTTCTTTTTTTGTTTTTCTTTTTTTAAAATGTCACATTTTCATGTCCCAGTCTGTCGTGTCCGATTTGTTTCAAATCGTGTTACTTTACGTGTCAGCTTATGGTGTTGTGTTTTGTTTAATAATTAAATATATTTATTGTTTTCCTAAATTGATTGACATTTTATTGATGACGTTTATTTTTTCTAGTCTTTTTTATTTTATTTTTCTTCTTTTTAGTTGTTTTTACTATTTTTCATATTACACTAGTTTTGTGGTAGTACTAAATATTTTGTTTCTATGTTATTAGTTTGAGTTTCTATAAGTAACAAGGTAACCAAAGCAATAATGTAGTAATTTTGTAACCAATGTTTGTCTTCAGTGGATCTTTAAACCAATTTGCACTTACACACACACATATGTATGTATGTATGTATGTATGTATGTGTGTGTAAGATTGTTTAAATATATGTTTGTATAAATATATATATATATATATATATATATATATGTGTGTGACGCCATTTTTTTTTTTTAAAGTTCAACGAAAGGCAAACACACACATATATATGTCTTTAAACAAAATAGAGAATCAATGAAAACAGCACACACACGCATACATATATATGTGTGTGTGTGTGCAAGTTTGTTTAAAGACCAAAAAGAAGACAAACAAAAACAAAATTACTACATTATCGCTATGGTTAATTTTTATATATATATATATATATATATATATATATATATATATATATATATATATTTAAAAGATAAACTTGCTTTCAGTTCGTCGTGTGGGTAATGATTTGCTTCAGCTAATATGGATTCGAGTTAGAGAGTCGCTGTGTTGCACATTGTTCTATCTACGCTGATTTTCCCCGTCACGTTAAAACCTCAGCTGTTCCCTCTTAACATAGAGATACTATGAGTCACCTGTACAAGTCAATAAGTATCATTCGATATAGAATAAGAAATGAAATCAAACGAGATTTTGTCTTTAAAAAATTCATCATCTTTTAAGGGCTTTGGAACTTGAAAGACCTATCGATACTGAAGGAATATATTCAGTACATTCTCCGATAAAAGCTACCGAGGGAAGTTTGTGACTTACAGAGCAACGCCCTTTCATCATTTATATATATATATATATATATATATATATTATGGGGGCATTCCTTTAAAGTTCTTTTTTTTTCTCTCACCACTTACCACAGGAAATAATTGGGATTAATTTATGAAATACGAAGTTAATTAAAATGTTAGAAATACTTGTGGGGGTGGGGACGTTGTTTTAAAACTTTTTTTTTTTTATTTATATATTTATTTATTTATTTTTACATTTTGGGGTGTCGGCTTGGGAATTCAGGTTATTTTATGTGTTAGGGACATTTAATTAAATTATTGGTGATCAACGAAGAATCTGAACATTTACGACAATCTTCGGCAACTGAAATATTTTTTTAGAAGAAAGAATCTACGCTAAGTTGAAATTAAGAAAAATAAAAACATTGAATAAATATATATATATATATATATATATATATATATATATATATATATATATATATATATATAACACGTTTTCGAAGCGTTCCAATTGAAAAAAGAAATCAAAATGCGGTATAGTTATTAAATGATAACATGTTTCGACATTAATTTCCCCCGAAAATACTCAAGTCTACAATGAATACTCAAGTCTGCTACAACCATGTATTACTAAAATATTTTATATTTCTCTAAAATTTCTTTCAAGACATCCTGAATAATAAACTTGACTAAAAGTAAAATTAAAGCTAAAATGGAAACGTTGTCTCTCTCTCTCTCTCTCTCTATATATATATTCCTTTAAATATATACATTACATTTTCTTTAATGTACATGTAATGTTAAATTTTTTCAACTCAGAGTTATGGTTAGAAAGCATCTTTCACTTACAATTACGACTGAGTAGTGTGTTCGATCCTCATTGGGCTCTCTATTCTTTTGGCCTTGTGCCACATCTAAGCTGCGCTCAAGTAACTAGATATTAAAAGACTGAGATAGATATATAGATAGATAGATATTAATACAATGACATAGATATTAAAACACAGAGATAGAGAGATCGATTAATAGATAGATAGATAGATAGATACGTATTAAAAGACTGAGATAGATAGATAGATAGATAGATAGATAGATAGATACGTATTAAAAGACTGAGATAGATAGATAGATAGATAGATAGATACGTATTAAAAGACTGAGATAGATAGATAGATAGATAGATAGATAGATAGATAGATATTAATAGACTGACATAGATATTAAAACACTGAGATAGATATTAAAAGACAGAGATAGATTGATAGATAGATTGACAGATAGATAGGTATTAAAAGACAGAGATAGATTGATAGATAGGTAGATAGATAGATATTAATAAACTGACATAGATATTAAAACACTGAGATAGATAGATATTAAAAGACAGAGATAGATAGATAGATACTAAAAGACTGACATAGATAGATAGATAGATACTAAAAGACTGGCATAGATAGATAGATATGAGGAGACTGTAAGTAATATTAAAAGGGTACTTCAGTTGGTATTTTGGTTAGTAAACTTGTCACAATAAACCAATTGTTCCCAAACGGTACGGGTACCTCATAGGTGTGTTGGAAGAGGATAGCAGGTGAGGCGGAATGATTGATAGACAATCTAAGATTTAGAAACAGTTATTAAAAAAATATGCCAAAAATGCATACGATTTCTAAATTTAAATTATTATTATGGATTACTTGTAATTGCTTCCATGAATCCCAGTATAAATAGTTATAAATAATTATTTGACTGCATCTACCATTGTCATGTTATTGCGTTATATCAAGCATTAAGAATATAGTAACTAGGATCCGCAAATTGGAGGAGAGAGTTATCAATGATAATGTTCTGACTTCGAATCCGCGGTTATCTCCCTTTAAACCTCTTTCTCTTTCTGGATCTTCTTTGCCGTAGGGCTGCCCGTGCCTTTTCACCGTTGCTTCCCTTTTTGATTCTGCGTCTTCGTACATTCTAGAAATCACATATCAAGCGCAAGCAAATTTTCATTCCGAAAATGGGACCCAGAGAAAAAGACAAGTCTGCGAGGCATTATGCTGGACCAGTTATGACGGAGTATGTAGTTTGTTTCTCACTGCATATATTCAGCCTTGTGCCACATCTAAACTTAGGAAATCGTTATGACTAATATTAATTAATGGTGTTATGGATAGCAAACATGTCACGCTAGACCAATTACGACTGAGTAGTAAATGTGATTCTCACTGAGTGCTCCATAAGTTCGACCTTGTGCTACATTAAACGCTTATAAAATCGCTATATGTAATGTTAAAATGCACTTCGTTGCAGTGCAATGGTTACCAAGCTTGTTTCCCTAGATGAATTGCGACGGAGTAGTGAATTCGATCCTCACTGGGCACGCCATTCTTTCGGTCTTGTTCCTCAAATAAGCTACGCTCGGCCAAAAACTCCCCGTAGAACCTCCCCACCCCGTATAAAACGGGGTCGGGTAACTGTTTCCAGAGACGAGACTCTGCCCTTCGGTATAGCCACGTCTGGTGACCTTCACTCTCCGGAGGCAGATAGATATGAGGAGACGAATCTCCAACTGCAGGATACCTACCAACTACCCCACGTGGTCAGATGTGGTACAAGGCCGAATTTAATGGGAAATTTATCCGAGCCTTAGGCCCGATCAAAATTTCACTGTTTATTAAAATACGGAATTAAATATTTTAGTTTGTCTTCCGAGACGAGATGTGCCCTTGACAGAGCCTCATCAGGGGATTATCATTCAAAAGGAAGACAGAGAGTTTGACCAGCACACTCCAAAGTACTGTCCTATGTAGGTCTGTTTTATAAAAAGTGCTTCTATTATCTTTAAACGTTTTTTACAATTAGTTGACAATATTATCTTATTATGAACTAGAACAATAAAATAAAGAAACTTACAATTATTTTCATTGTCTTATTGAATGAAACATAAAGCAGTGTGTCTGTCGTAATTAATCTTATGGCAATCCTCTTCCACAAATACATTGCTTTATCATTAGAACCATGTTCTTATTAGTTCAACGTAATAACAGTTGAAGGTTATTTGAAAAATTTCTAAAACAACTTGGCTACATAGACCTGTACATTCCAATTAGAACATTAACAATACAATTACAGAGAAATCATAGAAAAGGTATTGGTCAAATTTAAAATAATGATGATATTTGTGAGATAATCGACATCATACACACACAGACATACATCTTATATATATATATATATATATATATATTTATATTTATATATATATATATATATATATGTATATATATATATATCAAAAGATTTTTTTTTCTTATCCCAGGCGAAAGGTCTATTCATCTAGCTATTTGTCTTTTTAGATATATGTATGTGCGCGTATCTATCTCATTTTTTCCCTATATATCTATCTGACTTTTTTCAATTCTATCTATCTATTTTATCTATCTTTATATCTATTGTATTTATCTATCTATCTCAGTCTTTTCGTATCTATCTATCAATCTTTCTTTTCGTATCTCCCTATTTCAGTTTTTTTCGTATCAATCTATCTATCTTTCTATCTATCTTAGTCTTTTCAGATGTTTTCATTGATTTCGGAATCGCTATCCATCTACCTATGAATTCATTCTATGTGTGTATATATATATATATATGCAGATGTATATATATTTATATATATATATATATATATATATATATATATATATATATATCAGATCTGATATATATATATGGGGTGATATATATATATATATATGCAGATGTATATATATATATATATATATATATATATGTATATATATATATATATATATGTAGATGTTTATATATATATATATATATATGCAGATGTGTATATTTATATATATATATATATATGTAGATGTATATATATATATATATATATATATATGCAGATGTGTGTATATATATATATGCAGATGTGATATATATATATATATATGTATATATATATATATATATATATATATATATATATATATATATATATATATCTTTCCATGTCTTTACAGATCTGCCTATTTATTCATATCTGTCACTTATTATCCCATAATGTGTTCATTATCTATCTACTTATAGATAGAGACAGATAATTTTAATTTGTATCTGCTATGCGATTGCTATCTGCATGAAACATGTTTGTTTCAGTAAAAAATTTAGCGCTCTCATTTTCCATTGAACCACTGTTTCATTACAACCGGCAAAACAATGAGCGCCATTTTATATTTCTATTTCTTTTGATAGTCAATAGACTGAGAAACGTTCATTTGACTTAACTGTTTATACGACTCAAGGCACAGATGCTTGATTTAAGCGTATGAATGCAACTGTGTCGGCTATTCAGTAAGTCTCGTCAAATTTTCTTCATGTGTTGAATATTTTATCTCTAGTTATCTCTTGAGTGATTTTTTGTCAGAAGTTCCGCTAACCTGGAAAAACACGTAAATACAATATAATATAATATAAATAATAATATATTTAGAAAACGTGATTCCTTATTCTTTTCATTCCTTTTTTACCTCATCTATTTTATGAATTTTATAAAAAAAAAGAAACGTCTTTCTTGAAACCTTTATTCTAATTTCAATCTGAAACTATAAATTCATTTTAATATTTACAATAAGCAAACTATTTTGCTGTATTTCCAACTATTTTCAAAAGGCTGGAAGGAATGTTTTGGCTAAAATAGCTGAATATTGCCGTTCAGAGCCATCTTTCATCGCAATGTATTTCTCTTTAAAATAAAATATATTTTTCTGACACATTATTTAAGAAATATTAGCTGATTTAAATCATAATTAATCTGACATTATCAACAAATAAATAAATAAGAACGTATAATATATATATATAAATAGTAGAAATTTATAAGTATAAGAAATGATACTAATAGGAGGAAAAGCTAGCCTTCCTGACGATCCGCTTAGGAAAAAACCTGTAGGTTTGTTTATAACTTTAATTATAACTATATATATATATATATAGATATATATATATATATATTATATATAAATATATATATACAAAAATATATATTTATATATATATATATATTATAATATATATATATGACTTTATATATATATATATTATATATATTTTTATATATATATATATATATATATATATATATATATATAAATATATATAGTTTGATATGAAAAAATTAATTTATGATATTTATATTATTTGGACTGTTATCCTTGTAAAAAACCATAAAATGACATTTTCAGAACAAGTTCTGGATACAAAAGAATTTAGAACTGAGGAAGCATTTATTTCTGTCGGGAAAAAGTAGATTAATGTGTATAAAGATGCAGCTGTTCCATTATGTGTTTGTGTTTATATAACTGTATAAGTATCTAGTGAATATTACATCATTCCTGTCTTTGATTTCAAACTATTTTTCTTTAATTTCAACCCCGGTTTCTTAAAATAATCCCGAAGTCTCCAAAGCTTCTATGGCGATTATTCATTCAGCCATCTTTTGCCTAACCAAACACTTTTGGCCCTAATGTAAAGAAAAGTTAAAATCTGCCCAGTCTAAATTGTCTCTCAGTTCTAACTCTTATTATAAATTTACGAGCTATTCTCTCTTGAGATTGCGAAGCTGTAACCCCCACTATATCCACGCGTGACCTTGGCTCGATTTATTTATTTATTTATTTATTTTGTGCTATGACACAATGCCTTCATTTTACATTCCATTTCCCGTTTCCGGTGGACACAAATTTAATGGTGGATGTCCCACGTACGGATTAGACGAAGGAAATAAAAACGGGGGCGAGGAAGACAAAGAAGAAACTCAAGATCGTGTTTAAAACAGGAATAATAATAAGAAGAAGAAGAAGGAGAAGAAGAAGAAGAAAAAGAGGTAAAGAAGAAGAAGAAGAAAAAGAAGAAAAGAAAAAGAAGAAGAAGAGGAAGAAGAAGAAAAAAGAAGAAGAAGAAGAAGAAGAGGAAGAAGAAGAAAAAAGAAGAAGAAAGGGAAAAAGAAGAAGACAAAAAGTAGAAAAAAGAAAAAGAAGAAAAAGAACAAGAAGGAAAAGAAGAAAAGAAAAAGAAGAAGAGGAAGAAGAAGAAAAAAGAAAAGAAGAAGAAAAGGAAGAAGAAGACAAAAAGAAGAAAAAAGAAAAAGAAGAAAAAGAAAAGGAAGAAGAAGGAAAAGAAAAAGAAGAAGAAGAGGAACAAGAAGAAAAGAAAAAAGAAGAAAAAGAATAAGAAGAAGAAAAAGAAGAAAAAAGAAGAAAAGAAGAAGAAGAAAAAGAAAAAAGAAGAAAAATAATAAGAAGAATGGCATATTTGAAACTGATTAAAAATGAGAATAAAGAATGAAAAGTAGAAAGAAGAAGAAGAATTTAGAAGATGAGGAAAGTTTAAAAAGAAAAGTTTATACAATGAGAAAAGAAAGATGAGGAAAAAGGAGAACGTTCAATGAGAAGAAGAATTTTGAAAATGAGGAAAGAAAAGAGTTTATGAAGGCGCAAAAGGAAGGAAGAAAAAGAAAAATGAAATATATCTGAATAAGAAAAAAAAATGTACCTTAATTCCCTATGTACAATACACCTTTTTTTTCTCAAAAAATATTAAGCAAAATTATAGGTGCGTATTATGCACAACAACAAAAAGATCTTTAAAAAAATGGCCGTTTCATAGGTCGATTTCAGTTGCGAAAAACATACGACAATTTGACACTAACATTCGGCGATTGCGACCCCATAAGGATGTCAAATGAAATCATATATACCTTTTTACTTACAAATGTAAAATAAAATAAGAATTATCATAAAACTAATTTAGAATAATATTATTCTATGTTTAAAACTGTTTTTTGTGAAAATCTACATACAGATCCGATAGATTTCACATTTTATCGAACCAAAACAGGTTAATGACAAACAGTAGGCACAATATAGGTATTTCATTTTCACCTTTTAGAATCGTGATGAGGGGAAATTTTGAAAAAATATCTTCAATTACAGCTTGAATAAATTACGGGAAACGCTGGCCGTAATGAAATTGGATCTTACTAACTCAATTTATAGGGTTTGATTATCAAAAAAAATGTGTTATATGCATGAGTAGAAACATTTTCCCACACTTTCAGTAAAAGTTTATGGATGCGTATTATGGATGAAGGTGTATTATACATGGAGAATTACAGTAAAAAAGAAGGACAAAGCCAATAAAGAAGAAGAAAACCACTGCTAGAAAAGGTGGTTCACTAAGTCATGCTAGCCAGTTTTTCTCACCACAATCTATATTACACACTTATAAGTCTACCTTTCGTCCAATGCCTTGAATAACGCTGCCACAGATGGTCTGGTTTTTATATTATGCATTTAAAGATTCTAGATAAAAATCAAAAGAAGAATCTGCAATTTTTTATCTATCCTGTTATGTTTTCTGTATTATACAATTAATAATGGTATAATGTAGTTTCTCTGCACCTTTTTTTATAAATAATTGTCATGGCATTTTTTTTTTCTGATTAGCTTTCCTCTTCAGAACGTCAAGTTTACAAATTTAAGAGCAATACCAGATAGGAAGCAAGGTCTCACCATTTTTACAAATATAAGAGCTGTACTAGATAGGAACCAAGGACCTATCATGTTACAGTTGGAATGGCTAGATATAGCCGTAAGTCCTATGCTAACAATGTCTTTTCTTGGAACAATTTTCCTTACTTTCTAGTCAACTTTGATCTTCAAAAATTTAAAAGCAATATCAATCGATATCTACTATTTTCTCAATTCTTTTTAATGTTCTCTCCCCATAATTATTTTTTACGCTCAGTAACACCGTGCATCTTAGTGGCTTTATTACCTTGCTTGAGAGAAAATGATTAAATGTTGTCAACCGCATGTTTTCCTATACTTATAGACATTTTGTTTTTGATAGGTTAAGGAAAAGTATATTTATGACAAATATTTACATTAATTATGTTCGGACTGTTGTCCTCAACTTTGTTGGTGTTATCACAACGTTCCGGCCATTGTGGTTGTGAGTTCAATCCCTGGGTCGGGTAGTGTGTACTTGTACTCAGGGGAAACGGGTGAGCAATAACTGAAGAGTAATAAATAGAAGAACTAGACGATATGTTTCGACATGAGCAGCGGAATGAGAACAGTTTAACCCGGAGACTGAATGAGGGGCTCTGTTTAGAATTCCCTGTAGGTTACCCAGATCGATATAAACCTGATGACGGCCGGTGGGTAGAACAATGTATGTTGAACCTTGGGAATACCAACGAATGAGGAAAATCTCAGGTGGAATATAAATAGTGATGTATCTCATCCCAGAAATTCAGATAAATAAGTCAAATACTTCAAAAAATTAAATGATGACAGGTATTAATTTTTGACTAAACCTCGTATTCTAGAAAAATGGGTTATTGTATGTTTCGGCGTAATCTGTTTGGTGAGGCTGATTCGGCGTCAGAAAAATAATTGGACTGTTCAGCACAGCCGTTTAGGCGTCAGTTTGTTTCCATGTCACCGTCTTGGACTGCAAGCAACACCCAAAATATAAAAACCTTGTTTCTTCCACGTTTTGATAAAATATTTGTTTTCATTTGGAATAAAAGAGCTTTAGCGCCTGAAACTGCACTGAAAGAAATATAATATTAAAATATCTCCAACTACACTTTTGCTTAAATTGGACTATTCAAGCATATAACAACGAAGTACTAATTTGACTATTAAACGAGAGAGGGGGGGAGAGGCGGAGAAAGAGAGATGGAGAGAGAAGGGCAGAGAGGTGGAGAGAAAAAGTGATGGGGAGAAAGAGAAGATGAGGGGAATAGAAGAGAGGTGTTGAAAGTGGAAGAGAAGAAGGCGTGAGGGAAATTTCGGGGGAGAAAAGAGAACGAGAAAGAAGGGGAGAAAGGTGGAATAGAAAGAATGGGGAGAAAGAGATTGGAATGGGGAATGGGAGAGAGATTGGAGGTGGAGAGAGAACGGAGAAAGAGATTTCATCTGAGGTGGAACGAAGGCGAGAGAAGGAGAGAGGAGATAGAGAGGAAGGCGGGCTGAGAGGTGGAATAGAGAGGGAAAGAGAGAGAGGGGAGAAAAGAGGTGGAGAGAAAGAGGTGGAGAAAGAAGGGGAGAAAAGGGGAGAAAGATGGGGAGAAAGAGAGTGGAGTGGGAGAGAGAGGGGAGAGAGATGGAGAGAGAGAGACGGAGAGAAAGAGGGGAGAGAAAGAGGGAGGAAAGATAGAGGGGAGAGAGAGTGGGGGAGAGAGGGAGAATATTTGACCATAAAGACGCAGTAGTAATCTGACGCCTGATCATCCGTCTGCCGAAGAAGTCCGATGTCGAATCGGCTACGCCAAATGAACGACATTAAATGGACTATACCGGAACATCCCATTATCGGAAAAAAAAAATATTTGGAAGACATGCGATGACGTCAGAAGAAAGAAGAATGACGATAATTATCTAAAAAATTAAACCAAACAAATTTGGAATACTAAACTTTCGTTCCTGCATTCGTCAAAACTTTCACTTTCTCTAACTTTTTTCGCTGTTGTCATTCTTTTAAATAACCTCCCATGACCGTCAATTTTTTCTTCCATCCCCGTTTGAGGGAATTTCTTATCTCGACTTACCATATCTTAGCAACCCGACGAAGGTCTCTGTTTTCATTCTTGGACAGATCCTACGTATTTGGAGTGAACGCTGCTGACATGCTTCGAGATAATCCATCTATTTGAATAGAACGAATAGACGTGAATGTAGAGAGGTAAATAGAACGAATGAGTTCAGACTATAAAAAGGACAACAACGAATGCGGAATGAAAACCGAAGGAGAGACAGACAGGTTGTTTTCGGAAGGCAGTAAGTTATGAATTTATAAATAACCCAGAGAATAATCCTTTTTATTTAGAACTGTAAAGGACAGGAAACAGAGGAAAGCCATGACCGCCTACACCCCGAAGGGACACAGAACGTAATAAGAGTGTTTCCACAAGATTCACGTGTGTCCATAGACAAAACCGCAAATCATATTTTTTAATACGGATATATTTGATTTTTTGCAAATTTTTTTAAATCTGAATTTATAAACCATCTCTGCCCATAATCAAACAAAAGCACTATTTAATATGATTTAGGCTTATCTATTAGCGTTAAATCCAGGCCAGACTGTTTTTCATTGGACGCAGACAGATTAGAGCCGACGGACGCCAATTTTTGACATAAAGAAAATGGACGATGGAGATTGCTTTAAAAAACTTGACATGGGAAATAAAATAAGTTTTTTTTAGATAAAATAATTTGATGGGTGGAAAATCTTAAACTAAATTGTGCAAGGGAGATAATCGCAGGAGTGATCTTTCATTGTTGGAACGATTATAAAAAAGCATAATATGGGCCGCTGAAAAAGAAGCACGGCCAGATGAACTTGCGAAATATTTTACCAAAGCAGGCGTTCTCATATTTAAACGGTTTATTTTTTTATATATATATATATATATATATATATATATATATATATATATTAAAGACATTTTTTATGTTTAACGTCTTTTTTATAGATACAAGTATTTAAGTAAATGCTCTGTTTATAATAAACAGTATTAAATAACATATACCGGCCTGAATGTCCGAGAAATTTTCATAGAAAATATTCGTATTTTGACATGATTCGAACCTATACCGTCATTCATTTACGCTGACGTGCCTTAACTGACTAGGCCACAAAGGAGCGTTCGGTAGGCAAGGTCAAATTTACTGCTTATAAACTTCAATCTTCCATGAATCTCGTACATTCATAACTGCTCTGGCGTATCAAATGTAAACAAATGACGTCATATATTAAGAAATAGACAAAGTCCGACAATTTATTTATTAAATTCGACCAAAGAAAACGTTCCAAAACAATAAAATATTTAACTACGCAAAAGTGCTCAATACACGAAAAGGGCAAACCTAAGATAAATTCAAAGTAGCCAGGTAAATATACTATAGGTTTCACCTAAACGGATCGTCAGGATTAAAACTGGCCAAATAAAAAAAAAATGGAACAAAAATATATTAAAAAAAAAAAACAATGACTAAATCCGTTTAGGTGAAACCTAGGTGATTTACATGGCTTCTTTAGGTATATATATATATATATATATATATATATATATATATATATATATATATATATATATATATATCAATTGTTAGTACATTGTTTTTTTTTTTAATTAGAACAGAATGTGTAGTTACAATAATATAAACATCGATGAATTTCAAAATGACGAAACGCATCAGAACGAAAAAAAATGACTTTTGTCATTGATTTGTGTTGTCATTTTCTCATTGTTTTGTATATAATAAACCAGTTAATATACCATAGCCTGAAGAAGTATTAAAGTATAGTATTGAATTAGAAATTTTTATTGTAACGATTTCAACATGTTTTTTAGTATATTATATAATAAAAATATATATATATATATATATATATATATATATATATACCATTTATTTGTGTGTGTGTATGTATATATACGTGTGCGTGTGTGTCTATGTATGGCTTATTGTTTCATTTTGTTAATGGTTTTGATGAATATAAAGCAGTTCTGATTTACATCCGCCATTTTGAGTGTTAGATTCATCTTCTTTCTAAATCAATATCCCTTCTTCCTGCTCGTCCTTCTTTTTCTCCACTTCCAATTGACACCCCTTTATCCTCACAGCTGGCCGAACCCATTTGTCATGTGTTCATCTCGACGGGGCCTGCCGAATTATTACCATGTTTGTACAAGCCCTTATATAAGCAGAGATACCTTAATTTCCGGTTCTTTAGGCATTTGAGGCTTTTCTTCTTTCTTTTTTTAACGTTTGGCTTGATTCTGATGCCTGGGGAGAGTTTTTTTTTATTATTTTATTCAAATTATTTTTTTTTCTATGTTGCATGTACTTTATTGAAGGACTCTGGTTTGGTAAAGTTTCAAGAGAAGGGAGGAAAGAGAGAACGAATATAAGAAGAATTGAATCTGTAGCAAAAATTATTAATTCGAACGGCTGTATTAGAAGCAAAAAAGAAAAGGGGAAGGACAAAGGAGTGAGAAAAAGTAGGTTGCGAGGGGTGGTATGATAGAAAAACGAATAAGCGTAAAGATGAACGAAATTGAAAGAAAAACTGAATTAATTTGAAGACGACAATATCTAAAGAGTCAAGATCAAAATGTCCAAGAAAAAAATAAATAAAAGAGAGACGAATGAAAGGCCATAGAGAGAGCAGAAATTAAAACAGAGAAACGAAAAAGACGACCCCAAAAAAGCCCATCTACAGTAGATCAAAGGAGACTTTAATATATCTCTTTATGACGCCGGCGATCCTGCCTATCCCCACCACAGCGTTTTTTTTTTTTTAAATTTAATATCTGCGAGCTGCCATATTTTCTTGTCAAAGATGGTGGTATAATTTCCGTCACTTCTTCTACAATTTCTTGTTCCCTAACGCTGTCAACTACTGAAATAAGACAGCCCAGATTACCTTGCTATTTAACCCATAGCTACTGGCAGAAGAGATAGATCCATACATAGTCCCATGATCCTTGTGCCGATAACTGTTGCTTCAACCGAACGCCTGACTTTTACAGTGAAAATTTCAGCGAATTATCCCCAAATCGTAAGTTCTTCAAAACGAACATAATGCGATCCTAAAACATCAAAGTGCAAATGTAATGTCTATATTTCTGAGATGTGGTATTATGTACCACTGTGCAATGTGTCCTTAAGGCTACTGCCATTTCAAATATTTAGAACTAATATATGAAACACTATATTTTAAGGGGATCCGAAATGAAATCTGAATGTTGGGAATACTAGCCTTCTTTACGGCAGCGAATGTTGGACAACAACCTCAAAAGATGAAGAAGAGACTCGAGGCGATTTAGATGTGTGGTTTCAAAAAGCATTGAGGATGAGAATGGACCTAGGCGTGTGAGTTTAAATACCTGGGAAGCGTCTTGACAGAGGACGGTAAGTGCGACACTGAGAACCGTAGGCGTATTGGGATGGCCAAGGATGCATTCCAAAAGCTGGATAGATTATTGCGAGACAGGAGGATTTCTTTGGTAACAAAGAAAATAATACTGAACTGAACTGTTACGTGACATCTGTCTTTCTTTACGGCAGCGAATAGTGGACGATTTTCTCAAAGATGAAGAAGAGACACGAGGCGACGGAGATGTGGTTCTACAGAAGGATGCTAAGGATATCATGGACCGAGCGTGTGAGCAATGATGAGGTCTTAGAGAGGATGCAAACAAGGAGGAGGCTTATACTTAACATCAGGAAGAGGCGGCTGAAGTTTCTGGGACACATAATGAGGAAGGAGGGCCTGGAGAATCTGATACTCATGGGTCGAATAGAGGAAAAGAGAGACAAGGGAAAACAACGCATGACATACCTAGCGGGCTTTAAGCAAGTGGATGACAGAACGTGGTCTGGGGAGGTGGCAGAGGGAAGGAACTTGTTGAGAGCTGCAAGGGATAGGAGGTGGAGAGCCATGATCGCCTAGGTCCTGAAAGGACATGACACAAAAAAAAAAAAAAAAGAATTTTATAATTTAGACCATTTTTTCCAATCTTGAAATTTAAAAATCTTGTTTCTTTTTATTTAATCAAATATTGAATGCATCCATAGAAGATAATAGACATTGTGAACAGAGAAATCAACATTGCTCAATGCAATCTTCAAACCAATTGGATTCGACAGTCTTTTAAAAGTATTTCCAAAGTAATTAGTCTTCTAGAACAAAGAATGTAGTTAATCCAGCATAGTCACTGCAATTGAAAAATGCAACATAAAAATTTTTCATTGAGTTAAAGAAACAGATTTTATTCAAAAATCCTGTTATGTTATGTTATAAATATACATCCATTAAAGTATTTGATTTCTATATGGTTAAAACATTACCATTTGTTTTTAAAAATGATTAAATAAAATAAATATGAAGTCTTGTTTTTTGTAGTTTCTTTTTTTTGACCTTGATTTTCTTAATTAATATCAAACTGTATCTTTCAAATGGGGCATTACTTTTCTCAAAAACAAAATTTGAAGGGATGTTGACTCAATTCTCAAAATCTGAACCAAATGCATAATATCAATGGATTTTTTTTGGAAAAGGTTGGTCAACTAAACATTTTTTCAGTTTTTTAGATTAGGTTGATATATAAAAATAGATAGAAATTATTTGCATGAAAGAAATTTTCTTTTATGGATCTTTATGCATCTTATATGATGCAGAAAAAAAAAGAAGGCTATATAAACTAATTAAACATATGTTGCCAAAATTTAAATCTACTGTTATTTGGTTTTCAGGCACAAATCATTGAATATATAATAAAACGCATATGCAAGGGAGATAGTTTCATAAAAAACAAATATATAAATGTTGGAATATACTGTATCTGTATATATATATATTATTTACAGATAGAAAATTTTATAAAAAAATCCAAATAAATAGATCTTATGTACACCTACAAAATTATATAAAGACATGTAGTCTGTACATGCATTCTAATTTTTTAAGTTTTTTTTTGTTTGAATCTATTCAGAGAGAAAAATTTTGGGCAAAATAAAAAAGACACCATCTGTAATTGAATATTTAACTTCATTCAGAGCAGTTAGAAAAATTTTATATATATTGTCCACCATAGAAAAGTACAACTTCGAATTTAGTTTGAGTAAAATGAATTTTGTCTAATTTTAAAAGTCATTTAAAGGAAAACTTAAAAAACTTACCTTAAAAAATGTAAGGATGATGAATGGGAATCCATATATCTTTCCTCATTGAATTAGGGAGATCCCTATTAAATTTGAAGATGGGAAGCAGGTTCGTGAGCCTCCACTAATCAGACACATAAGCACACCACCAATACAAAAATTTTGCGAGTTCTTAAAAAGACATTCTTTGGATGGACAACAAGAATTAATCATCAAAAAAAAAAATAAAGAAAAATTAATACCTTATATTTTTAAAAAATTTCATCCAAAGCTGTTTTAAAATTAATTTCGATTTTTTATTGAAAATTTTTATTTTCAAAAAATAAATGTTCTATTTAATATTATAAAATAGAATATAAAAAATGTTATTAAAAAAATCTACTCAAAAATTGTCCTAATGGATGGAGGAAAATTTTTTTTTAAGAAAATTTTCCAACCAATTCCCAAACTTTTATTAAGACCAACACTGTTTATTAATGTTGCACTTTTTAACTCTTCAAATGATTTTTTTGATTCCACTTTTTTTTTTTTGGCATTTATTACATATGAAAAAGAAAAAAAAACCCTCCCCATATGCAGTGTTTATTAAGATTCTTTAAATAAAAAGAATATTATCTTATATATGACAATATTTATATAATTTGCATTTACTGGCATGAGAATACAGAAAGTCATTTCTTTGATTAAAAATACACATATTTTTGTTTCTTCAGGCATTAATATGCATTTATATATATTTTTATACAACCTTTTGTCATCAACTTTATGAAGTTTGCATAATATCCATTTTCAGTGCAATGTTAAATCTATTGCAAACTGCATGTCTGCTTATTTTTTTTTGTGCAGGATTTGGTTTGGATATAAATATTTTATTCTGATTAACTTAGTCTAGTTTACAATGTTACAAAGTTAGGCATTTAAATTTAGTTTATTTTAAAAATTCAGTACCTGCAAAAAATAATGTGTGTTAAAAGGATGTTTTATATATATATATATATATTATATATATATTTCATCTTTTTTGCAGGTATGTTTGTTAAATTTTAATAAATTAGAATTCTTAAAAAACAATCTAATAAATAAATAGCAGTTAACATTTTGGTTTTAATTCTCAAAAAAATGTATAATTTTATATATATATATATATATATTTATATGGAAAATGCATTTAAAAAAATTTATACTAATATAGTAATTTTTTTGTATTTAAATTTTCTTGTTCAAAGGTATTTTTATGAATAAAAAATTTTTTTTATATTTTTTTCATTATAATATGGTAAATAATAAATATTGTAGTTTGATAACATACTGTTATAATCTTGTAAACATAAAATTATTTGTTTAAATAAACACTCTAATAAATAAATAGTATTTAACATTTATAACATAGTTATCAATTCTCAAGAAAAAAAAATCCAGTTTCATATATTTGGGCTTTATTAAAATTTTAAATATAGCTTTTTGAAAACAATGAAAATTGTTGGTAGGCGGATAAATAATAGTAGTTTCATAAAAATCATCCTTTTGACAAAAATTTTTTGCAGGTAGTTGAACTTTTCTCAAATTTATTACCAAGGTTTATAAAAACATTATATAATTCAGCTATGAGTTTGCTATGTATGTGCATATTAGATTTTTTATTTTAATAAGAAAGGAACTTTTACAGACAAATAGAGGTTTTTTGATGGAATCAAAGTTAGAAGATTCCAAAATTTATTGCACTGTCAATACATTTTGGTTTTATAAATTACTTTTTTTTTTTAATCAAGTTGTAGACTGTCATTTATTGTATACAAATACATACAAATATGTACACACACATACATATAACAAAGGTCCATGGAAAAGAAAACCTTTTAAAAAAAATTTTTCAAAGTTCTTAAAATAATATTGACATTTATTTCCTTTTAAGTAATCTTTTCATTTTTTATTACATATATATATTCATGGCTTTAATCCTATATAGCAAATGTTTTACAGTATGCCTACATGTGTGAGTTTATACAATAAATAAAGGACACTGCCAACAAAAAAATATTGCTAAATTGCAGTCTTCACAGAGTGCTCAATATCAGCATATTCAGAAAAAGTTAAAATCAATTATAAAACACAAATAACTTGAAAATTGATACTAAAAAGTTTCATGTTAGAACAGTGATTGTCAAGTCCTAAAAAAAGAATTGAAAAGTCAGCTTTATTAGTCATATAAATACATCCAGACATGCAATACTATTCACTAAACAGCATATTAATATCCATGCATACATGTGATGAACTTTTTGCTCAATTAGGATCATACAAAGATGATCCTCAGAAAGTGGAATGATAAAAATTGACAAGGAGAATTGAAAAAGTCACAAGATTTTCAGAGTTCAGCTTTAACATCTAAATTGAAATTAACTTGAAAAGAAATGAATTATCTAAATATT